AGGGCCCCTCCACCGGAGCTCTAGGAGCACCAAGAACAGTGATACTAATGTATTCCATAGCCTGGCACATAGTAGGTGTTCAAGAAATACTTCAGAATGAAGAAAAAAACATACTGTATCCCAGACACAGCATAGGACACCAAGAGAGGCCTCAGTCTCTGCCACCAGGAAGCTTTTCCATCTACACAGTGGTTGACTGTCTAGGGCATCCATCACAATTACCTGGAGAGCCTTTCCCCAATATTCAGGATCCAGGCTCTGCCCCAGGCCTCCTGACGCACCCTCCAAAGACAGGGTCTACACATACATACTGCCCAACAGCTACCCAAGTGATTCTGACACATACTCCCACATTTAAGAACCCCTGTTTTAGAGACTAAATAAAAGCTATGATTATATATATATATAAACATATGGGGGAGTGGGAGAATAAGGAAGTAATGCCTTTTTATTTGTAAACACCAAAACTTCCCTCCCTGCCCTCCCACAGGTTAAATTTTAAAGTCCTCAAAGATTCTTGGGAGGTAACAGACCAGATACAATGTTGTCGTATCCAGGGAAACAATGTCATGGACCCTTGCAGTCAGATAAAGCTCACAGGAATCAAGGGCAACTACCTAACAGTCCAAGAGACTGAGAAATGTGACCACGAGCCTTTCCTGATTGTCTTCTCCAGGCAAGCAAGGGGCAGCTGCTCTCCTTTAGGCAGGTGAGGACACTGGATAGCAAAATCCAGGCGCCACTCCCCACCCCACGCTGATACCTCACTCAGGGCTGCTGTGCCAAGAGCTGCCTGGCTGGGCTCTGGTGCAGAAATGGGCAACCTGTGGTTAGCCTGCACTCTGACACCTGCACACACGACTCTTTAGGAAAGAGGAAGCCGCTGGCAGCATGGCCACAAACTCCCTTTTGGGCTGTACATTTTTCCCGAGGCTGCCTGCTAAACCTCATGCTAAGACAGACACAGACACACAGACATACACACACGCCCACAGCCTTGAGGCCCCTTTGCTCAAGGAGGCTTCCCACAGACGCCTTGGCAAAGACCTACAAATGAAGCCAAAAACAAGTGTCCTCCGGAGGGGAGGAAAACGCCACCCACTGTGTTCACTCGCCCTCCCCATTCCCCTCCTCAAGACCAAAGCCTCCGAGGCCAATTAGGAAACCAAGCTGCAGCACGCCCCATCAGCCCAGAACCCCACCCCACCACCTGCCCAATCCATGCTCCCACCAAGGTCAAGAGTAGGACTGTCCCACCTCCCCTTTCTCCCCACACTCTTTCAAGCAGTAGATTCTGTGAATTCTCCTTTTCCCTTTCTTGGCTCCCCTACAGAGGTGGCTCCTTATTCCTCTACTTAGAAAAGCCACCCTCCTCCCTCCTCCCTCCTCCTCCTCCTCCTCTTCCTCTGCAGACCCTCCAAGTATCAGCATTTGATATTTTGCACCTCTGTCCATTCCCGTGTCCTTTTGTAAATGGCCTCCTACGGGCAAAGCACAGTGAATATGAAGATTAGTAAACATGGTCCCATTCCTCAAGGAGGGCAGAGCCACATGCACAGACAGAAAGTCAGGACGGTAAACGCCATGGGAAGAAGGTCAGATCACGGGGGCTTCTCAGGAGATGACACCCAGTTTGAGTCCAAAAACACAGCACAGAAGTAACCTGTGCCCAGGTTGGTGGGAAGACACAACACACACTTCAGCAGGAGAAGCAGGTGAGGTGCAGGTGGGGAATCCCAGAAGAGATGAGTGGCTGGACTGGCAGGCAGAAGCCAGTGCCTGCCGAGCCATCCCCTCTCCAGTCCTTGGGGGTGCCACCTATAGTTCTGCTGGGCTTTTCCCAGGAGTGGTTTCATGGCTTAGAACCACAGGCAGAAGTTCAACCTGTCATCATGGACAGCCAAGCCAATGGTCCTAATTAAAGTCTCCTGAAACACAGGCATGGCCATCTTCTTCCAGCGAGGCCCGTCTCCAGATAAATGCTCCTCTACCACACTGCCAGAGGCTGGTCCTCCAAGAAGCTTCTTGCTGGCCTTTAATTTGGTAGCACCCAAGCCTTCTAGTCTGAACCCAACCATTTCAGGTTACAAAATGTCTCTCTAATCGTTGGGAGTACGTAGACCAGAGTTTAGGAGCACACAAGATTAGAAGCCACACTCTAAAATTGAGCCCTTCATTTCCCCTTAGGTTTTAAATAGGACTGTGACCACTTGGTCATATTACACCTAAGAGCATACATACTCACAGCCTCTGGTAACACTGAATTACAGGCAACAGCATTCTTGTTTGTCAGGAGACCTGTCTAGTCTAAAATAGCAAAATCTGCAGTGAGAGCACTTTACTAGTTAGCTTTTGCTTACGTCAAGTCACCAGTCACTTCAACCTCCAGGCCTGTTTCCTTCTACATAAACAATACCACCGTCACCACCACCATCCTCACCATGAAATAAAGTGAGCAACTGCTATGCATCTGGCGCTCTTCACAGTAACACTACAAAGTAGACTATTCTATTTCGCTGATTCTAAGGCCAATCCTAGAATCCCTTTTACAGTTAATCCTTTACCCTGCACAATTTAACATCTCTGAAAGACATTTCATAGTTTAGTTGGCAGGATTTTTTTTTCCTTAGTGCTACATAAACTAAAGGTGCAGCTAAATTTGACAGTTCTTGGATTTGAGGAAATAAAACATTTTTTATCCCCATCGTATTAATATGAACACCAAGCTTGGAGAGGGTAAATAACTTGCTGTAAGACAAATGTTCATACCAGATAATCTGGTCAGTCACCAGCCCTTAAACTATTTGAACATGTCTATAATAAGAAGCAGGGCTGTCTTCCAATGTTGAAACAAAAATTCATCCTGCTGTGTCTAAGACATTTCTATCTTTGGGATTCTTTAAAGATTTATTTGCTCAATTTGATAATCGGTTCAGTGGCTAATTCTATTTTTCTCCTCAATTCATTCCATGAACATTGCCTTCTTTCCTTTTTCTAGCTCTGCAGAACTGAGTTCTTAACATTTCACCCACAGTTCACCCACTCACTCAGTCTCACCGCAGGGCCCTTGTTTACCTTGTCTCCACCCCAATTCTCCACACTCTTCCAGGAAGACTTTGGTGATTTCCCCCTGGCTTTTCTCTTTTCTCCTTTCACCCGGCCTCTTGCCAGGCCCTGGCTTGTCCAGACTGATCTCAGACAGCCTAGCAATTAAAAATCTGACCCCCAGAGACAATCTACAGTGTTGAGGTTCCACTCTACTGCAGATAAGTCTCATGATGTTGGGCAAGTTACTTAACCTATCTGTGGCCTCCATGGCTTCACCATAAAAGATTAGACCCCATTTCACAAAGCTGTTGTGAGAATTCAGAGACAACACACATACGGATACAATGTGCTCATTAGCACCCAGCACACAGTAAGTTGTCAGTAGTCCCGCTCCATGATGATGTCCTGCTTATCTGTATACAGTGTCCATCAAACTGATCTCACTGGGGCAGGGACATCTGTATTTCCTAGCATAGCCCCAGGACAAGCACTGTGGCTAGCTCACAAGAGCTTAAGAAACTGATGAATGAATGAATACATGGACGCATGAATGTGTGTGTAACACATGCAAGGCATTGTGCTCAGGAACACAAGGGCAAGGCAGCCATGCAGAGTATCAACTCTAATACAAATGCTAAATACAGGTTCTGGTCATGTGCTGTACAAGCACGATAGAGGGAAAAATTAACTCTGACAAGCAAGCACACTAAAGAAAAATACTGATAGAAGCACAGGAACAAAGACAAAGGAACAAAGATATAAGAGAAAATGGCACAGGCAATGACAGAGGCTTAGAGTGCATGGTCTAGCACGGGCATCGGGCTGAGATCACCACCGGGACCTACAGACCCCTTGAAATTGAATGAAAAACTGAGTGAATATGTACCTTTCCAGGGAGGCGGTCCGTAGCGGTCAGTTCCTAGAAGGGGTCTGAGGTCCAGGAAGATGAAGGGCCCCTGTGATAGGTTGTTGGTCGTGGGGTAGGGACAGCGGAAGGAGAGTAAGGAGGGGTGATCACTGCAGAGCGAGCCCAGTCAGCAGATTGTGAGCTTTATCATGGGACTGTTAATGGGGGTCCTGGGGCGGGGGTTTCAAATAGGGAAGAGGGGTGATCAGATCTGAACCACAGGAGAGAAAATCCATCAGCAGTAGGGAGAGGAGAAGGTCATGGAAGAGTTTTAGAGGAGACTTGAAGAAGGCAATGGGAGTAAGGACAGAAATTAAAGTTCCCATTTAAGAAGCAAGGGAAAGTCCAAATGAACCCAAGACAAATCTAGTCTCACTAGCTGTATAAAAAGAATAGAAGAACACATCTAAGAAGCATGCTGGGATTCAGGTGGAGAGGAGAGGAGAAGGCCATGCCCTGGGTTTCCCCCTATCTTAGGATTTGATTTGAGACGGTGAGTTTGAGGAGAAGGCATGACCTCCATGGAGAGGTGCTCTTGCTGGGGGATACGGAGCTCACCAGGGGATCAGGCCTGGGGCTGTGCACGATTCTGACACCATCTCAGGGCAGCTGTTGAAGGGTGACATGTTTCTGAGCAAAGGCCAAGACAGCGCCTCCAAGAATCCCAATGGGGAGAAAAAATGAAAAATACAAGGACGGGCGCAACAGCTCAGGCCTGTAATCCCAGCACTTTGGGAGACCAAGGTGGGCGGATCACAAGGTCAGGAGTTCGAGACCAGCCTGGCCAATATGGTAAAACACTGTCTCTACTAAAAATACAAAAATTAGCTGGATGTGGTGGACCACGCCTATAGTCCCAGCTACCCAGGAAGCTGAGGCAGGAGAATCACTTGAACCCAGGAGGTGGAGGAGGCAGTGTGCCAAAATCGCACCACTGCACTCCAGCCTGGGTGACGGAGTGAGATTCTGTCGAGAGAGGGTGGGGGGAAGGGAGAGGAAGAGGGAGAAAAAGTGAAAGTGGGAGAGAGAGAGAGAAAAGGGGGGGGGAGTAGGACGGGGAGGGGGACAACCAAAAAGGTGCCCCCAGAGAGAGAGGAGGCAAACTAGGAACTGGCAAGTCCCTGAGGCTAACGGGGGAAAACCCTCATGGTGGGGTGGTCAAGGCATCCAGTGATGAGAGAGAACACGGCAAGATGAGCCCAGAGAAGGGACAATCGAACTCTGCAGCGTCCTCAGCGAGAATTTCAGCAGAATCACACAGCAAACCTCATTAGTTCAGGCTCTCATTCAGCCTTAGCGACAGATCAAGGATGAGGCCTTAGTTCATTTAGAAAATGCATTTTTGTAGATAGCACTGACTACCATAATATGTTCTTAGAAGGTGTCTTCAACATTTAAGACCACAAACCCTCTTGAGTTATGATGTGGTAGGAGAACACAAGACACGCAGAGCCAAAACCCCTGGGTTCAAATCTCAGCTCTTTTAAGGGGTGGTGGGTTAGGGGCTGACGGGTTAATGGGTACAGAGTTTCCGTTTGGGAAGATGAAAACGTTCTGAAGGTGGCCGGTGCTGGTAGCTCTACACAACAGTGTGAATGTGTGTAATGCCACTGATTTATCCACTTAGAAATGGTTAAAATGGTAACCTTGATGTTAGGTATACTTCACCACAATAAAAAATAACAACAACTCTGGGAGGAGGTATTATCATTTTAGACACATGAGGAAACTGGAACTTTAAAAGGCTCCGTGGTTGGCAAGGTCACACAGCTACCCTGCTCTGAGCTAAGATTCAAAGTCTCCAGGTGGCCAGGCACAGTGGCTCACACCTGTAATCCCAGCACTTTGGGAGGCTGGGGTGGGAGGATCACTTGAGCCCAGGAGTTCAAGCCCAGCCTGGGCAATATGGCGAGACTCTGTCTCTATGAAAAATTAGCCAGGAATGGTGGTGTGTACCTGTGGTCCCAGCTACTCGGGAAGGGGGGTTGGGGGAAGATACCTGAGTTCGGAGGGTTGAGGCTGCAGTGAGCCATGATCGTGCCACTGCACTCCAGCCTGGGGGACACCACCCTGCCTCAGAAAAAAACAAAATCAAAAAAAAGTCTCCAAAGCTTTCACCTCCACTGCTGGGCTCTAAAATCAAGTCAGCAACAGGCCAGGACAGCAACTGCCGAGGCCACAGTGTGACCAGCCACAGTGGGCTGGAGGAAGGTGCTGATTCTACTTCTGTTTTCTCACAGGCACAGTAAGTTCCCCTTTCCCCTCTGGCCAGGCATGTTTTATTGAGGTCCTATCCCTACCGACGTGTTCATGGAGAGTGACGCTGTGGACCGGGGTGTCAGCAGAGCTGCTTCCTCCAACAGACACAAAGCCAGGTCTCCACACCTCAGCTCATATCTACGGCAGGAATTCATGCCATCCTCGCTCCATTTGAAAACTCCCCTTTCTCATTCATGCCCCTACTGGGTCTGCAGGCAAACACCTCCTTCCCTGTCATCACAGCTGGCTAAAAACTTCCCAGTAGCCCCTTTGTGTCAGGATAGCAAACAGACCTGCAAGGTCAACTTAGCACACACCCTGACACTCTTCAACAGCATGCAGACTCGGTTATTAGGGAGGGAAAACCCACACCTCTGAAAGGGACCAGAAAACAAAAATGAAATGACTTCAGTAGTTACGCCAAAATGAAGACCTCAGTGTGTCTGGCCACCCATGAAAAAGCTGACCGACACCCAGAACCCAAACTCCATTCTTAGATATATCGACAGGATCTCACCCGACACAAGCTTTTGCCCAGCAAATTCCACAAAGCTTATGAAGCTCTGACTCACTTTGTTTCCGTGACATGCAAAACAGTACCACCACCTTCTTGTACACACGGCCCTTTCCCACACATTAGGGTACTGTCAACGATGTCCTGCATGTAGCAGGCTCCCAAAGCTGCTCAGTGAACACAAGCCTCACTGTTTAGACAGATATTCTGATTGTATCTGGCTTTTAAACTTTTGTGACAAAGCAAGTTGATCGTTGCTGACTTCCTTTTGTTCCACTTGCGACGTGGAGCCAAAGATGGATCTCTCGGTAAACACCAGCCACAGAATAGAATAAGACCCCCCCTACCATCTACACATGTCAAAAGTCCAATCCTCAGAAGAGCATGATCATACGGTGCAATTAGAAAAGACTTCAGCCCCATGGTTTTGGATTCTATTTTCTGGATAAATAATTACTCATTTTCTAATTAAACAAACAATTAGTAGAAAGCACAGCCTGAGAAACTGTGTAGGTGGCACCGTCTCATTCCGCTGAGCTCGTGTGACGAATGATGCTAACTAAGGGGTGAAGAAAACTTTTGGCTCCTACTGTTTGCACAAACCGATACAACCACACAGCCCAGCATTTACAGAACAGCTCACTCCAAACATGAAACAGACACTCTGAATGACTGACATCCTAAATAAGGAAACAGTTCCTTTAGACAAAGGCCAGATTTCTTGGACTTGGGGGAAAAAAAAGAGAACTGGCTAGTGAATATATTGAAGGTAGTTTTGTTTATTTTGGGGTTTGTTTTGTAGCACACTGCAGAAGGTACCCGCCAGAATGAGTCAAAGACAATGACCTACATAGTTCTGGCTGCTTTCTACTAACATTCAGTGCCTTTGTCTATACGTATTCAGGGACACGAAGGAAAGCAATGACCTTTATAGATCATGTGCTAAAATCTGCTGGTTCCATTTGGCTACGCAAAGTTAATGTTTACTCTTTTGGGTTTCGTGCTGGTAAAAGTAAGCGGGTAGCTACAGAACACTAGAGGAGTCCTCCTACACTAGATAAGGCAGATGGTACGTGCATCTTGCTCCTGCTCTACTAATAGTATCCAAGTATCTCTGCAGTGGGATGTGTCTGCAAGCACAGGCTATTTTAAAATTCATTCATGTAAAGTTCTTATTCATTTCATTCATTCAGTAAATATTTACTAAATGCCAGGTACCGTGGATACAGAGAACATAAAAGAAAGTGCTACCCTCATAGAGCTTACATGCTAATAGGAGAGTAGTAACAGGCAAAACAAGTGGTTCACGCCTGTAATCCCAGCACTTTGGGAGGCGGAAATGGGTGGATCACGAGGTCAAGAGATCAAGACCAACCTGGCCAACATGGTGAAACCCAGTCTTTACTAACATACAAAAATTAGCTGGGTGTGCTGGCGTGCACCTGTAGTCCCAGCTACTCAGGAGGTTGAGGCAGAAGAATTGCTTGTACTCGGGAGGCTGAGGTTGCAGTCCACCAAGATTACACCACTGCACTCCAGCCTGGCGACAGAGCAAGACTCCGTCTCAAAAAAAAAAAGAATTTCATAGAATTCTAAGTGCCATAAAACACTGCCAAGGAACAGAAAGTATAAATAGGGTGCGCAGTGGGAGGAGGATGGGGTATTTTTGCTGGGCACTCGGAAAAGGTCCTCCTGAGGTTATATTTGAGATGAAACCACACAAAGATCTACAGAACAGCAACCGAACAGAGGGAACAGCAAATAGTCATCTCGGGATGGAAAGGAATATGGCCAATTCAGCAAACAAAAGGGACCAGTGGTGGCAAAGGAGATTAGGCTGAGGTCCCCCCACACAGCCTTGCAGGCATGGTTAGGGACTCCTGACTTTGTTATACTTGCAAAGGAGTCTTGGAAATCAATAAAAAGATACAAATTTAAATACGAATGTATGTTTGAGCTTAGCAAACATGATAGACTTAGGATTGATCTTTTGAGCAGCATGACTGAAAGCAAGGAAGTGAGCTTCAGATAAACACCATTTGTATAGCACCCTAGGGCTTACCAAGAGCTTTCCCCCTACCATCTCATCTGGATGTTTAGATTGGGGGCAGTGATGCCAGAGGTTAAGGACAAGCAATAAAAAGAGCTCCTAGCTCTTAATTACCAGGAAACCAATTCATCCAGTCTCCAAAGTGGTTAAAGAAGAAAACTCCAGAGACTGTAGATTAAAGGGGGTGGCTTTAGCGTTCTTCTCCCTCTGAAGATGTCAAATAATCTCTCTAAAATGGCTTAAGATACAGAGCCCACGAGTACTAAAAGACCAGGTCAACCAAAAGAAAACACAGCTACCATATTAAATACAACACAAGGGCATCCTTAATTTTCTACGTGATTATAGTCCTGATGAAGCCATCAAGATCATGGCTATAACCTTCTAGAGCATTTTCCTTTTTTTTTTTTTTTCCCTGAAAAGCCTTTGCATCCCAGTGCCAATAAATAAGCTCATTGGGCCTAGAATGCTCTAACCACTGCCCTTCTAAACTGGCCTCCCTTCCACATCCGCCATGGCAGGCTACACTCCCTCAAATACTTCCCCCTTTAAGATTTCTGACCTCCAGATTGTCCCACTGAGTCTTCCTCCAGAATCGAATCCCCACCTGACCTCATGACTTACACCAACCTTCTTTCTCCCATTGCTTCCAACCCCGTTCCCCACTCCAGAGACCTGTCTCCTCACAGTCTTGCATGGGTGCCAAGCTGGACAGGATACCTCAAATGATGGGGCCCCTCTTGCTAGCCTGTCCTCCCTCCTTCCACCCACTCACCGAGTCCTCATGGGCCAGGAAAGTCACCATTCTCTCATGGAGTCTCCCTTCACTAGTCTCGCCCTCCCTGCCTTCTCCTCTAAAACTGCACAGCAGATACAGCAACCCCCAAAGTTTCTCTAAAGGAAAGATAACTTTTCTGAAGATGACCACAGTGGAGATAAGAGTGTCCCAGGACATCCCTATTCTCACTGGATGGCTCAAACATTGGAGAAGGACTCATGGCAAGAGCAAACTAGTTCACGATGTCCCGATACAAGTTTGAAAACTGGTTACTGGACACCTGACTTCATCTAGACAATAGTTCTTGCAGGACAAACACCAGATACCTCTTATATAACCACCACCCTAATTAAGAACACAGCATTCTGCCTGCATGAAACACACACCGTGATCAACGTCCATTTCCTGTGTCGGAAGAGTTTAGGAAGAAGAGATTGAGATTCTCTGTCTATAAACACATTATGATCAATACTATCTGTGGAGGCAACAAGGCAAAAGCTCAATTTTTGCCATATTCAGTGACCATCAGGAAATTTCCCGACCAATGCAACTCACACAAAGGATGCATGTTTCCATGCATAGCAAGCACTATGTGAAAGTTTTAAGAGAAATCCAGCAGCTACATCCATAGAGATAGCAGTTGGAATACGTGCTTCATAATTTCTGAAGGAACACTAATTAAGAATGTACTTTTTTCAGCATTTGTGAAGTAGTAAGATACATCCAGACTACAAAAGATACAAAGACAGTGTTAACATGTTAATGTTATTTTTGTTCACTTAAAAATATGGGGAATGGGCCCATTGCAGTGGCCCACGCCTATAATCCCAGAACTTTGAAAGGGCAACATGGGTGGATGACTTGAGGTCAGGGGTTCAAGACCAGCTGGCCAACATGGTGAAGCCCCATCGCTACCAAAACTACAAAAAGTAGCTAGGTGTGGTAGCACATGCCTGTAATCCCAGGTACTTGGGAGGCTAAGGCAGGAGAATTGGTTGAACCCAGGAGATAGAGTTGCAGTGACCTGAAATCACACCACTGCACTCTAGCCTGGGCAACAGAGCAACATTTTGTCTCAGAAAAAAAAAAATGCAGAGGGGCTGGGCACAGTAGCTCATGTGTGTGATTCCAGCACTCTGAGAAGCCAACATGGGGTCCTTTGAACCCAGGAATTTGAGAGCACCCTGGGTAACATGGTGAGACCTCATCTTTACAAAAAATTTTTAAAAAATAGCTGGGGGTGGTGGCATGTACCTTTAGTCCCAGCTACTCAGGAGGCTGAGGTGGGAGAATCTATTGAGCCGGGAAAGGCGAGGTTGCAGTGGGCTGAGATTGAGCCACTGCATTCCAGCCTAGGCAACACAGCAACACTGCATCCTAAAACACACACACACACACACACACACACACACACACACACACATGCGCGCGCACATGGAGAAGGAAGAAGGGCATGATGAAGAAGAAATGTGACCTCTCATTTATTGTCCAGGAAAGAGAGCCAAGTCCCAGGAACTGAATCTTGCACGTGGCTCTGGACCAAGCAGTGAGGATTTCCTTCAGGGTCACCCCAAGCTTGCAAATGAAGTTTCTGGGTGTTCTCACTGGACTGGTGCACTACATTAGGAAGGTGAGCCGTATTTTAAAGTGGTCCCGAAATGCATAATGACAGCATAGGAGATATGAAGAAGGGAAAGCTACATAGCATCAAGTAAGAGACCACACTCATTTTCACAGCAAATGTCCCTCTTGGAGAAAATCGCTCCTTAGCCAGGCATGGTGGCAGGCACCTGTAATCCCAGTTACTAGGGAGGTGAAGGCAGGAGAATCACTTGAACCTAGGAGGTGGAGGTTGCAGTAAGCCAAGATCGCGCCTCTGCACTCCAGTCTGGGCGACAGAGTGAGACTCTGACACACACACACACACACACACACACACACACACACACACACACACA